CAGAGCATAAGACTTCTTCGGGTTGAAAGCACTAGATTTTTGATTTATCAAAGAGCTTGCTTACCTCGCCATCTTCAGGTACAAACTCCGTTTGCAGTTTGAATTTTGGGTGTACAACATAGTCATCTGCATGCTCTGCCACCTAAACTTGTGCATGTATTATTTATATATTTATGGCATGCACACAAAGGTGCGCCAGAAAAGACAGAAACAAAACCAAATACATACAAAAAAATAGAAGAAGTATTACAAGGGCAAAATAGATACTGAACTTGGCCGAGCTAACTTGGCCTAGCATTAGATTATATATCCACACTAAAATTTACAAAAATTCATGAGGAAGTTTTTCCCACCTTTTCTTGTCCGGGAGCTGCACGATAGACAACAAATCCTATATCATTTGATTCTACTCGCCACCACCAAGTAATTTTTCGTCCTGGTTGATGTTCTGAAAATTGCACAGAACAAAAATATACTCTTAGTTACTGATCAGGATCTTTTTTAACACATTTGGCAACTAGAACCTTCGTAAAAGTTTGAGAGATCGTCAAAACCCCATCTTATTCCAGAGTCGATACTTTTTTCTCATTTGCAAAAAAAAAACACTGACCTTCTACAGTTATCGGTACAAAGTTCACTGACTTAGCACCTATCACAAGTTTTTGCAGTTTGTCTGCTGGTAGATCGTTATTTGGATCATATCTATAAAAATTAGACTTAATCGACGTGAAACTCATTTAATTTGTGAGGATGTACCTCAGTTCTGCAGGAACTTTACCACCGGTCCGAATATGACCAAATGGTGTTTCGGCTTTGCGAGTACCTCCCCAGTGCTCGTATAAAACTTCCTCACCAATGCTTTCCTAGATGGTAGAACATAATCGAAGAAGAAGAATAGTATCGTAAATAAGTATGGAGCTTACTCTCAGTATATCCTTCCAATTATCTCCTAATATTCTTATTTTCTGTTGAGTTTGTTTAGCTAGGCATGGCGATATCATTCCCCAAAGTATTTGGATGAACGATGGCGCATTAATAACGAATATCTTGCGAATAACATCAGGGAACATCTCCTAAAAAATGTGCTGGTTGTCCAGAACTTTCGTCAAAGAACATTTCTTATCGAGACCCACCTGTAACTGTGTCAACATTGTAGTTACAACTTTCATTGCTTGCATATCCACTTGAGCAAAACTTAGCCCGTCTAGATCAAATATAACAGAGGTCCCAAGTTGCTTTCCGTTTTTCTTTTCTAGCGCTCTGAAATGACTCCACTTTCCTATATTACCTGTAAAATAAGAGCTCAGTAAACTTGTATTTTTTAAGAATGAATTTCACTACTAATCTGAAGG